AGCGGCAACCCGGCAAGGATATTAAGATTAGAAACCCGCGGGTGAGGGCGCAGGTATGCTTAATGCAGCTAAAATGGGAAGGGTCAGAAGCCCAAAACCGCAATGCAAAAACTAACGTGCTAAAAGCCATGCTGCTTGTTTCAGCAGCAGCTCAGGCTGCTTTCAGAAAAGCCAGAAATGAGACCTCTCAATGCAATTCTGACTGAGGCAACATCCTTGAGCTTCGGCTTTTAAGCTTTTAGAAAACAGATCTTGTGAACAACAGTTCTGCATGTCTCTGACTAATTATATGCAAGACCCTCAGATTGCTGGTGCAGTAAATGCCCCTGGAATTGTTAAACCAAGCACTGAATGATAACAATATTTTTTAATACGCTTTAAAAGGTATGAAATCAGTTGTCTGCCTCAGGAGAATAATCCTGAAGAAATTAAGGTTACCATTAGTCTCAGCTTGTTCTGAAATCCAAATTACTTCGCCTAAGGGGACCTGTGACAGGACGAGGATGGAATGAAAAATAGTGGTCATTGTTATAGCACAGTGAAAGTTTGTTTCCATTTTATACCACAGTCCTTAAAGTGCATGTTAACTTCTGCCTCTGGTTCTCTTTCTTTCTGAATGACAAAATAATAGACTCATTAAAAATACCTAGCTGCTTCATATCTAGAAGATAAATATACACATTCAAAACAGAGGTATACTTTCTTTTTTATCATTTATACATTCTGCACAGTGATTTATATGGCTCACAGTTACCCCTTCAGAGTTATCCCTCATGCTAGAGGTCTCCAAAATACAGGAGCGTGCAAAGCCTAAACCTCAGAAACTCTAGCCCAGAGTAAAAAAGGTAGAATTGTGTGGAGACCACAAGCAGATATGGATACTACTCCCATTCCCAAATCCCTTTCTAATAACATAATATCTTCTTTATGACTCTGGGGAGATGCAACAACTGTGTTTCCAGCTTTCAGCCTCTCATTCACTGGATTGAGTGAAGCGGAATGGGGAGACAAAACACTCCTCATGGGGAGGAGAGACACAGCTCTCACTGATCCCTTTGAGGCAATAAGGAAAACATGCTGTGGGGCTCCAGACAGAATGAAAGTTATCCCTCCTCAACCAGATTTATGCAGACTGTGTTAGCAGCAGTCTTCAGAGAAGACTGAAAGCCAGGAAAAACAATAATAGATGAAAGGAACAGAACTTGTGACTCTGCAAGGCTGATGCAGCGTGAATTCCTAGGGGAAAGTATGTATCATACTGAAGATGATATTTTTCACATCAGTTAGCAATATAAAATCCAAGGTCATTTCAAGAATAACCTGTTAAGTAAACACAATGAAATAACTGCTGCCACAGAGCTATTTGCAGCTCCAGCCCCAATTTCAGTATATACAAGGCAGTTCCCAGATAATGGAACAGCTGTAAGAGAGGTATTTAACAGGCGCACTTGCAGTCACTTCAGGGAGGTCGACTGCCAGAAACAGCCCCACTTTGCTGCTGGAAGACTTCCCACTGAGTAATAAGGCGTTAGGAAAGCTTGCTTAAAAAGAAGTAACACAGCATCTTTCTCTTGAAAACACACAATATGATTTGCCTCACACAAAAGATCTATCCTTCTTCACAGCCGATGAAGAATTGCTAGTGAAGGAGATAATGACAGGACATCAGCATGATCGGTCAACCAGACCCTGAATTTCTGGAGAATGCATGTGCCTACAGGTGATTTATACCTGCTGGCATTCTGGCTCAGCAATGTTTCACCCCCCTGCTGAAAGGGGGGTGGGTACAATACTTCAGGACCAAAGGAAAAATCTGCATGCTATAAATAAAGCATATAACAGAAATCACTGAGCTCATCTGCCTAGCCAGCCAAACTGCCAGTTTGCCAGGACACAAATAAATGGGTCAGTGGGTATTTCATACTTGACTGCTCTCTACAAGAAGCTGTGGAGCTGAGACCAAAAATCTAAGATACAGGCACAATCTCCCAAATAAAGGCACATATCCCTTTTTAAAATTTCATGTGGATCCCATTTTAGGTATGAATCCCTGAAAAAGCACAGGGCTAGAAGAAAGGCTTCAGTAAAGCATCATGTTCTACAAACACCTAGAGGGAAATTGATGGGGAAGATCAAAATACCTGCCTCCCAATCGCACACTTGGGTACAGATCCTTGATTCCACTCCCACCTCAGGGTAAGTCATCCCAAATTAAAGCATCGGCGTTATTCAGCTTTAAACACCGTTCTAACATCGTTCTTCAGAGGCATATTTCATATGGCAACTACAGGCACTTTCAGAAGCTGCCAGAGACACCTGCACACCTGCTGATGAGCTATTGTGTCACTTCTGTTGGTTAAAGAAGTATTCCTCCCCCTTTGAGGAGGAGTGAAGGCAATTCCCACCTCAACGTTTGCCGAGTTTTGAAGGAAAGCAAATGTCAAGAGAGCTCTAGCTTCTGTGCCGCTTGTTGCCTGAAAGAGAGAGCAAAGGAGCTGACTACACCACATCAGAAGTGAAGGGCAGCTGTACCAAGAGAAATCTGAAGGGAGAAGGAAGCCCCACAGCTTAGTCCTGGTCCTGGGGGGCTATGTAAGAAGGAGGTGCTTTGGCCCACCAGACAGTTCACGGGCTCACTGTAGGACATGGAAAAACAAGCAGCCGTTCCACACCACTGCAATAACCACAAAAAGCCGGTTTGGGAGAAGCTTACAAAGGAGGACAGACATGACTCAAGTTGAGAGCAGCACAAAGGAAGTTATGCCTACAAAGAAGCACAGGCGGGAGCTCTGATTTTGCCATGGTATGTCCATCAGCTGCATCCTATGTCTTCATTTCACATGGGGCACGTGGCATTGTTACTGGGCAATGTTGAAAGGCAAATGCTAGGCTCTTCAGACACGTTTGGCAAACAGTGCGCTATCACACCCTCAGCAAGGAAAAGGACCTCTCGAAGACCCTCAAAATAATCATGCAGAGAACTGACAGTGGCAGAGAAACTGCTTGTTGAGACCAACTGTTGAGACCCTGTATTATGAAATGTGACTTCTCTGCCTTAGAAATCACTACGTTGCATAAAAGAAAAGTCCCACTTCCCAATTCTTTGCACCCAGGGCAGACACTCACTTCAGTGAAGTCAGGGTATGAGGACTCAGCACTCGGGGTTTCGGTGAAAAATCATAGGCAAGGACAAAAGGATGGGGCCCGTGAAGAGCTGGTGTTGAGTAGGAAATGGGGGCATCTTGTGGCCAGCTATAAAAATGTACAAGAGGAGCTAGATTTTTCAGCACAAAAGCCTAACTGGGAAAAGTTCAATGAAAATTAAAAGGGGAAAATGTCCTCCTGAAAAAGTTTAATTTTAACTGCCTTTGGGGGTTTATGCCACATCTTACATGGGGTGCTTTTGCCAGTCCTCTCAGCCATATTTGCAGTAAGCTGTTTGTAAGCTTTCTTGTTCACGCTATTCTACTTGCTATGAATATCACACTCCCCAGAATCAGACTAGAGGTCCAGCTTTCCCTTTCCCCACTACGTCTTCCCATCACCTGAACAGTGACATTTTTTCTAGATCACTTTCAGAAAGTATTTTAAGCAAAACCAGCATAGCATCCAGAAATCTTGAAAGGCAGGCTGTACCTCCCTAACCCTTTGCAGGCAGAGATGAGTCAGCTTGGTCCTGAGCCCAAGCAAACTATCTTTCACTGTGGCTCCAGCTCAGTATCATCCTAATGCATTCACACCGCTCCTGGGTTAGTTTGCACCCAGACTCATCCCCAGAAGCCCCTATGCTGAGTGAGTGCAGCAATCAGAGAGACATGTCCTGTGAGAAGGCTGACTTTAACCCCAGTGAAGTGCATTAACAGCCCCCCTCCTGCTCCAGCTTTTTATTCCAAATGCCCCAAACAAAACCATTTCATAGTTACCAAAAGAATTATTTTGACATTTCTGAAACCTTTCGTTTGGGGAGAAAACAAAGTATTTTGACATATTCAGACACCACTTACATTTGACTGGAAGTCGAAACCTACCTCAGCCCAGAATAGTTTCGATTATCTAGAAACTACTTCTTTTTGGCCATTCCATTCATTTTTCCTGTATTTTAAATTATTCCAAAAAACTAAAGCAAGCAGGTACATCCGGTATCCTCTTCTGTTTTCAAATACAGGGGAGCATTTAGAAGCCAGCAAGTAAGACTTGACTAAGCAGGCAAGTAAGAGGAGACATGATGCAGGAGCTTTTCTGCTACCCCAGTGCAACTCCCAACACTGCTGTCTTACACAGGTAATGGCTAGCAACCACCAAGGAGGCAATCCTGCTCTGCTGCAGCCATTTCTCTTATCCCAGCATGGGTGCTTGTCCTCAACTGGTTCAGGGAGCTAAACTAGTGGCAAACAATTCACATTTGCTAGGGATTAATTTTCTGCCAGTTCTGCCTGTTCGTTGAACATGGCAGCGTGGTGGGCAGGAATGCCCTTTGCCACTGCAGTGTGCTGTGGAAGCAGTTAGATGTGTTTGGCTGTAATGTCAAGCCCTACCTTTAGGTGTTTTGAACTGTCCTTGTGAGTTAGTTATGCGTCTCATCACACACACAGGGCTCCTGTGCTCCTGGCTAATCCCAGAGAGGGCGAATGCTTATCCCCTCTTCCTTCCCTGCCATATGTCTTTCTTATGGGCAAATCCAGAGGTAAAGGCACCTCCTGAGCAGCCCAGAAGTGAGAAATTAGTTCTGTGACTCACTGTAGGCACAGCTAGATGATGTGACATGTATTTGGCGACGACACACGTTTCACAGCCTACCCGTCTACACAGTCATCCTTCAGTAATACCGCAGATTATACCTTGCAGCTTCCAGAGCTCCCCCATGTTATCTGCCCAGCGCATTCAGACTGTAATTCCTCTCACTTCCACCATGCAAGTTACATGCAGGGATCAACGGGATTACACCAGCACACTGTAAGCGTGAATCCTCCTCCTGACAATTTCTACGTTGAACCCAATACCTTGGTTGCTCCCAGCAAATGCTGGTGCACTGTCACTCAAGTCAGATGGGTTTTCCAAGCGACGCGGTGGTGGCTGCGTTAGTTTCTGCCCTTCCTCTATCTCAGGATAGGTGCGCACAGTGAGACACAGCGAAGGCTGAACAAGGGCATCTTTCAGCGAAGCTGAGTCCAGATCCTCAGCACCTTTCTTATTAATCTCCACAATTTCATCGCCAGCTTTCAGGCCTGCAACACAGAAAGGAAGAGGTAAGACTTGCACAGTAACGTTTCTGTTACCCACAGACATCAAGGAGCTCAGCCGGGTGCTTATGAAGTGCCAGGCAGTGTTACGTCTAGACATAAAGTAAACATTCATGTCTGCAAATGACATTGAAATTTGCTGGACTTTTGCGAGATCTGTTGTCAGGCTGGTACTCCAGTACCATCCCTAAGAGTGCGGTGCCCAGGAAGTCCCTCACAACGTACCAGCAACAAGAAATCCCCTTTTTCTGCACACCACTCTGCAAGGGAACAGCTGCTGTACATCAAGCCACCCTACACAACATATTGCTCATAAATAAATGTATACTGAAGGACAGAGTCAGACTGGTGAGGTGCTGGACACAGGACAGGGAAAGGATGGAGTAGCTGGGCTGCCTTGATTCTTGCTTTTAACCTTCCATACAAGTGAAGGCTTTTATTGGAAGTGATCACCTGGCCATACACCTAGGAGGAGAGAAAATGTTTCCCACTCCCAGCCTGGGGCGCATGGTGCAGGACTTCAGAGAGTCTCCTCTCTGGCCTTGTCTGGATCACATCCTAGCACACAGATCTTCAAAAGGCAAATTTTAGCAGTTGGTAAGTTAGTTATGTTTTTTTTTTCCAATCTGATTTCAGGAGTTATTTGTAGCACCAGCAGCCAAAGGGAAAGGGGATCTGCGGAGGAAACAGCTGACTCCTGCCTTCTTCAGGAGTGATGCAGCAATGCCAACAGACAAGGTGCATCCCTCCGAGATGCTGCAGGAAACCTCACCTTCCCTCGGTCAGCCAGGCCCGCGCTCCGACTAACAACAGCAAGCTGGACCAGGGTTTAATCCCAAATAATCTTTAGGGTCTGGCAGGCAGCAGTGCACCAGGGCACGCCGGGCCGACGGCCCCGATCTTCAGGGCTGCTCCTGCCACTGCAGCATTTGCTTCCACTTGAGGGTGGTGCTGGCAGCCCTCCGCAGGCATCCCCCCAGGAGCTGGCCCACTGGGCACAGCCCGTGGGAACATATACCCTGCAATGGCCACCGATCTGCCAACGGGACTGCTGCAGCATCTTGGTCACTGTCCTGGCATTTACAGGGATGCAAGCTGGGATTTACAGGGTTGAAAGAGTTGCTCTGTTGGGGTGACCTACCCTCGTGCCACGCAGTCCTCTGGATGGGAGATCATGCAAAGGACGAGTCTTGACACTCTTAAGCCTGGATGAAAGGCCTGACTCGATGAGCCTGAGCTGCAAGCAGAGCTCAGCTGCATGCTCCAGGAAAATACCTACCTTCATTCAAGAAAGAAATGGGGAAGGGAGGAAGCTAAAGAGCTTCTGTCTTCTTTAGGAAAATTGAGATCTTTCTAAATGCATGTAATTGTGCCCAGAAACTGTAGTGTGGAGTGCAGTTTTGGAGAGAATAAAATGAACTAGATAGAACAGCCACAAAATAAATGGACCATAAAATCATATTTGAAACAATGAAAAAACAAAGCAAGTCAAGCATTTTGCATTATTTCATTTATTCTACTTAGTGATGCCATGTTGTAATAGTAGCACATTAATATGCCTGCAACCATAAACATCATATCTGGGGCTTCATTTACTCTTTGTAATCCCTGTTTTGAATCATTTGGGATAAAGCATCATGTCTATCTCAGTACAATCAAGCACCTCAAATTCCAACAAAGGTCTAGCGAATGCAGACCAACAGAAAAAATAAAAGGTAAATCATAAAAATTATTAGGAGAAAATAAAATTTAAGTTTTCTAATTGGAGAGAAGATTGAAGATGAAATACTGTATCTCTTCTGGTTAGACTTACTATAAGAAGTGCAGTCAAATGCAAATATGAATATAAATAATGTGAGGAAGAGAGAATTTTCCTCCCTGCATTCTGCTGACCATGGGTATCTTACTGTAATATCCTGCAAAATACTGTTCATACAGAAGTGGCCTTTTAGATCAATTATGAAGAGCAATACATCACTGAAAGCATGTTCTAGCATTTCAGCCCCACAGGAGGCAGTCTGTGTTCATGCATTCATTTAAGTTGTCGCGGAAACGTTTTCTAAAAGCGGAATAAGGATGCCCTGCTGCGCTCCGCCCCCCCAATATTCTCTTTGCTCCCCACAAGAAGGCCTCAGAGTTCTATTTCCTCGGTGCAGGCTGGCAGAGACCTGCCCCCCAGCCCCTGCTCAGGGCTTTTGGCAGAATCCCCATCCTGTCAGCTAGGGAATCATATGGGGCTGAGGTGGGGTGGGGAGAGAAAGATGGTCTTTTCAAGCTCAACAGACATGCAGCAGCCTCCAGAACCACCCATGGGGTTTTCTTAAGTTAGGGTTAGAGGTTACAGCTGAGTGAAACTCCAGGCTCCCTGCAGCCAGAGCAGCTCCCCATCCCCTGCCCGCTCTTTCTTCCTTCCCAGTTTCTGTCTGCACAGTCCTGTCCCTCCACTGTGCCCTTTCTGCCACTTGCTTCACTGCAACACTAGCCAACTCCATGTGCTAGCAGGTCAGAAAACCAGCCATGCATTTCTGCCACAGCAGTTTTCTATTGAGATGGTGAGTTGAATGGGCTCAGCAGAGTGCCAGGGTCAGCCCAGCAAAGAGCTGGAGCGGTCTGGGGGAGACCAGGCCCCGTTGCTTTTGGCAACAGCAAATTGTTGAGTAAGTTCTGCAAGACCATATAACCACTCACTAAGAAAAGTCTGAAGCTGTTTCTGAGGACTCTGCATACACTGATGGGTGGGTTATGATGAGATGAGAATCTTCTCACTCTTCATGCTCCCCATGTTATATTTTAAAATCTGTTTAGGTTTCAGCTGCCCAGCTCCCTGACCAGCCCATCCCGTGACTACACAAGCAGCAGTGCCAGCACATTGGACAGGGCGACGACTGGGAAAAGCAGTATGGGCATGGCAGCGTCGGGACTGACCTCAGCTTGGGTAAGCTGCAGTTAAACTGTGTCCTGCTCTGCCCTGGGACGAGCCCAGCAGCCTAGTTATCTCTGCCGGTTTCTGGTCCAAGTGCTGTCATGCTTCCTGCGAAGGCTAGGAGCAAAACTAGAGGCAGTAATCCCAGCCACAGAGAGCACTACGATGACTTTTACTGTACCCTTTTATCTTGCAGTGACTGACTTGAGAGGACTTCTGCTCCTCTTTCTAGCTGCAGGGGACATGCTGACCATGCTAAACATACAGCAACTCAAAATTAAAAGAGGTTGACTGTATAGCATAGCTGATCTTCAGAGCAGAACAGCCATGTATTTAGTAACTCAGATTCTTCCCAAAAGACCATGATCTCTTTTGGACTGGGACCCTGGTTTGGTATGTTCATAAAGCTCCCATCCCAAAAAGCTCATGGTCTATACCAGGATTAAACAAACAATAACAAAAGCACTTTAAAAAGTCTTTTACCTTTCTTGAAAGCTAGGCCTGTCTCTTTGACACCATCCACATACAGCCGACGAATTCCTTCTTCTTCCACGGAGGATAGAGAGAAACCTAGGGAGATACCCAGTGAGATGGTTAGGAAAAGCCAGCCACTTCCAGTGTGTCCTAACAACAGCACACACTACAGGTAAGGCAGTGCTGTCCCTGCAGCGAGCAGTCGTGAATTCCTCCCTCCTCCTTTCCCATAAACCTTTACAAACATAAAGGGAAAGTTAAAAAATAAAAGCAGCTTTAACAAAAACCTGAACTGAATTTCAGAGTTAATACATAAATAATCTACAGCTTTATTTGAGGATACCACAGCTGCAAAATGTTGGAACAGACTTCCAATTCTCTTGCCACAAAAGGTCACTTCAAGAAGTTTTGCTGTTTGCAGACAAAAGCTGCACAGAGATGTGGTTTGTGACCCAAACTGACAAAAGCCAGGAAACAGAGAGCTATGACTGACATGACATCCTCAACTCAGACAAGGCATAATAGTGCCTGCTAAAGCAGAATGCCAGCTTTTATTTTTTTTAAATTCCTTGACTGGACAAGTTTGTAAAAATGCTGCTTCCCCTTCTTCCCTTTTTTATTCTGAGCTGCTCCTGGCACAACCTGTTATTTGCGACGTCTCAGCTCAGCGCACGTTTTATAGCTATGTTACAGACCCATAGACCAGCCTTATAATGGAAGTACTGTCACAGCCTTAACTTAAACAGTGCAAATGATACTGTTACGTTTGGTTTTGGTGATTTTCCTGCCGTTTGTGTTTGACACTGTGTAAGATAACAATGTGTAAAGGAAATATAATGTGGTTAGTTAAATAGGGTTTATTTATTTACTGTTAAGAGTTATCTAAAGAAGAACATTTGCCTTTTTGAACCTTATTACTCCCTAAATGGGTGTAGGCAACCATTTGCTCTCTCTTTTTCTGACTAGAAAAACATTTACAAACCTCTGGGAGGAGACGTTTGTTTGACATGGAATCAGCCACCAGCCAAAAGGAAGCAGATGTGCTCGGAGCCTATTTTGACTTTAGGACTCCCTTCAAGTTGGTGCTAATGGATGAGAAGTTATTTTTTCATCCACAGTTTAAAAAAAAAGAAAAGAGGGGGAAGAATGTGGCAGCCTAGAAGTGAGGAGCATATGGGCCTTTGTGACTTACTGAGCTACTTGGAATCTGTATGAAAGCTCCTCAGCCTGAATAAAATGAAATTTGTGAAGCTCACTCAACACAGCAACTTTGGCAGAGAGAAAAACTCTTGACTAAACAGAAGAGCAGCTGTAAAAAAATAGTAGCTATTGGTTGTCATCACTGTAAAGCCTACCTGGAAAACCCTTAACCTGAAGCACAGTGGAGCATGCCCAAGACTGCAGTTTGAGTCAGCACAAATTACCAGTTACTAATACCATCACCCATTTACAACTGAAATGCTGTTTTGCGGCCAACTACCATACAGTTAAAACAAGGCTGACTTGCATCTCAGGTTCTTGCTGTAGGTAACTGTGAAGAGATTAGCATGCCCAAGTAGTCCCAACTCCCATTCTCCTCCATGAAAAGACCTCTGCCTCCTCCAATCTATCAGGGCTAAGGGCAGGTGTAGTTGCTTTTTAATTTGGCTTTCATTCCAACAAAAAAAAATTCCAGAACAGAAGGGGTGTAAGGAGCAATTACATGTGTTGTCATCACCTTTAAGAGATGAGAGATGGGCAATTGGCAACAGCCTTGAAATGGTCATCTCGCAAATACACTTAAGCCCTCTGCAGACAGAGTATGTGACCATACCCCAAGTATGGACAAACTGTTTTATTTCCAGAATTGTGATGTGGATGGGTCCGGTAAAAAATCTGAAGCTGCATTCCTGTCCCGTTGCAGTGCCGGTGCCAGTGCTTTCACTGCCATGCAGTCAAGCAGAGCAGGTAACTCACACAGATGGCAGATACCTCAGTCAAGTATATGTATAGAGATTTATATATATACTTGCATATATATATACACATACACTTGCATATATGCCTATATGCATAAACATGTATGTGTAGTTTGCATATACACATGTATAGTACGAATGTACAGTTTCCATCTGGCTGAATTCTGCAGGTGCTCCACACAAACACGTGTACTAGCATTGGATGAGAGGAAGGGCAGGAGTGGGTGGAAGTGACAGCGATTGCATAAGCTGGCATCACTGCCAAAAAGATTATTATCAAACTGTGCGTGGACTCTGAAACACAGGTGTGAAGAGATGGGTGGTGACCCAGACAAGAGCCTTTTCTTCACCGCGAAGTTTTGATGACAGGAGAACAAAAGTTGGCATCTGTGAGTGCACATGGCCTCACTGAACCAGCACAATAGCTGAACAAATCTGCCTCCAGAAAACTGCCTCGGTCCCCTGAGACAGAGAGTTGCTAATAAAAATGCCAGTATGTTGCTGGTACACACAGGAGCTGGAAGCAATAGGTTCTTACCACTGGTGCCTTCTGATTCCTGCCCACACAACCTTTGGTGGTACCAGTGAAAGAGCCAACATATGTGCCCAGGCATCAGCCACAGCATCACACTGACAGATCTAATGCTGGCAGGCAAGGTCTGACGCACTGTCCAGGCACTCCAGGAGTGCCTCTTACCACAGGCAGTCTGGTGGGAACTGAGACACTATGAAACGTTCCCCGGTGAGCTTTCCCTGAAACACTCTCGACCTCTTTATACCACTGGAACCCATGGTGTGCTCAGGCATGATGGCAAAGCTGCTCCACAGGCCTGCTAACGCCTGAAGGGGCAGCTCTGCTCCCTCCCCTGCACCAGGATCTTTTAGCTGGCCCAAAACAGCTTGCAAAGCCAGCAGATAGCTATTCACTTCTTCTATTATCCTACCTTTCTGCCAGGCTAGTGAGCTGAACTGGCCTGTCTAACTGCATCCTTACTGAAAGCGTTTCACCTCCCTATCTTTGATACCATGTCTGTTAAATGGAGATAACAGCACTAAGTCTACATTGTCGAGATTAATGAATAGCTTCTTGTGAAGTATCTTGAGAACTCAAGGTGATTTACAAGTATTATTATTGCTATAGCTGGAATACTAGCAAGAGCAACAGGTTGATGTCACTAATGATTTTCATAATCTCATCCATTTTCAAAATGAAGACTTTTTCAGTTCTTCTGGAGGAATCAAGGCACAGGGAATTTGGACATATGTTTTTAAAATGGGCAAGAATTACGAGGCTTGAACAAAGCTGCACAGAAAAAAACAGAATAAGAAGTCCTTTAGCACTCTAGACAGCCGGTTTTGGTACCAGCTCCTGACCCTGTTCCCGGCAGTTGTTGAAGTCCCTGTGAGAGCCTCCAGCACTGCCCAGCTGACTGAGAACCCATCTCAAAGGCAGCCCCGCTCACACAGAGCTACGCAGGTGCTTAGATGCTTGGAGACTGTGCGGTCACATTATTGATTTAGGTGTTTTTCAAAACAAAACCAGTGGCAAGAACCCTTAAACAACTCTGTTAAAGAGATTCTATGTCAAAATTTTAAAGCTCTGATCTTCATGTTGCCATAGCTCGTGAATGTGCTGTAGCTTTCTCTCTGGATTGTAGAAGCATGTATTTGCAGTGCTAATTCTGTAAAGAGACTAAAAGAACTAAAAACTCAAATGTACCTAACATACAGGATGGGGAAAGGATCTCAGGAGAACCCTAGCCTTCCCCAGCACCAAGACAGAATCAACACTTCATCTCTGCTCCCCTGCACACATGTATTTCAGCACACACTTGTCCCTGTATGAACACATAGTACTGTTTCTATGAGACACACACAGACTACAGAAATTCTGCTGCCATTTAGAGTCAAAGTCAAGTTTTTCAATTTTCTTTCAATGACAGCAAAGTCAGCTTTTTTGGGGTGCATTTAGCATTCACTCCCTGAAGGGCTGGAGCCACTGAACAGATACATCCCATATCTCACACAGCTGATCTCATTTCATAGGATATGACAGTGCATTTCACAGTCTTTCCCATCTACTATTTTAAAAAAAGAGAAGAAAAAGAAATGAACAGGAAACACCACAATACCCCTAACTCTTGCAGTACTTTCAGGCACAGCATAATTATCGAACCTTAGGGTCATCGCTGTGCTGGTTAATATTTCTCTCTTAGGCCTTCAATATTCAAACTGCAGTCAGTAGCACTGATTTGCAGCAGAGCTCAATATTCAAATAGCCTGCAGCTGTATATTAAGCAGTTTGGGGATTCAGAATTATTCTAGTCATTAAAACAGAATATTTAGATAAACAGTAAAAAGATGCAGATTGGCTTCCTGCAGTGTATAACACAATGCACAAATAACTTTAAAATACACTACAGAACTGTAATTGCCAGACCAAAGGGCAAACTCACCAGGCTGGAGGTCTGTAACTTGAAATACTTGAAAGCTAAAAAATACGACCACTCCCAGGTAAAGATTAGGGATTTTGCTGAAATTACACAGAGAGGACTTCCTCTGTTTCATGTTTTATACACAGATCTGTATGATGTGTCAGGTTCTGGCTCCAGGAGTCCAAGGAGCATCCTCAAGGGCCAGGCGTGCACTGGGGCCAGGCTCCTCCCGCCTCAGGAACGTCGGGGCGAGACAGGGACCCACCTTGCGTGCCCATGGCAGGCAGGGAAAGGGGCCAACCAGCCTCTCCTGGACAGCTGCCCGGCCACAGACCTCGAGCTGCCTCCCACCCACAGCGATGCTCCTGGCTGCATCCCTGCCATCACACTTGGTGGAAGGGGTGAGGAGTGGGAGAGCCTGTTAGCAGCAGCAAGGCACAGTGGCAACACTCTCCCAAGCCCCGCTGCAGGGTCCCTGTGAACACCGTGATACTGGCATTCATGTAAGATGCGACGACAGGCAAAGTATGCTGTCTTCCGCTGGTGCTCAGTTGCACAACCTCTGTAGGTGGTGTTCTGAGAAACTACAAGAACAAGAAAACATTTGTCCTTTCTGCCACCGTAGCTCTCGTCAAAGAGCTGCACATCCTACAGCTCAAGCACCAGGAAACACAGCGTTCAATGCACTACAAATAAAATCATCCTGCTTCAGGGCAGGGAAGCGAGCTTTCTGTGGATGACACAGGAATCAGATGTGCTTTTCTTATTGTGTTCAACAGGCCGTTCAGATATATCAACAAATAGCAAGTAAGAACCTGCACACACTAGAACTGACTTGGTAGAAAAGTAAAAACAAATCAAGAAGAGAAACTCACCATAAATATCAGAGGATGCATCAGACTTCTCTATTTCAATGTGCTGTGTAATTTTCTGACAGATTTCTATTTCTTTGTACAGCTGAATAGAAAAAAAAAGCCACAAAAATATGTTACTGTGGGAGGACACATCAATTGTAATAATTTTGAAAAGATTTTTTTAATTACAGGTGGAAGAAACGGACTGTGATCGTCATTTATCAAACAGTTTTTCTCCACATGTGAGATGTATTAGTAGTGTCACTATGCTTTAGAGTTAGAACAAAGTTAAAGAGGAGGAAGCAGTGTTTTACTACTGCCAGCTTAATAGCAAGGATACATCTATTTCATTCGGTCAAGACCATTTTGAGTGCACAAGAAACAGAGCTTCTATTCCTGTTTTTGTATTTTATAGGTAGTCATCATTTAAAGTTTTTATATTATTTTGATTAAGACATTGCAGGTATTCAATTATTCAGTAGGATTAAAGTCACAAGGAGGGATTTTTTTTCTTTAATTTTATTTAAGAATCTATTTATATTTCATAATATAACATATATTT